ACTTTCTATGAAGCCACAATTAGCTATAGGGAGGATTTGGATCTTCCTGATTTAGTGTAATAAGGTTTACTTGTTATCATTATGCTCGCAAAAACATATTAATGATCGGCAAATTTTTGCAGTTGTTTCACGGATTACGAATTAAATGAAAACGACAACAACAATGACAACAATCACCAAAAGAATTACGGTATCATATCATCCACGATCACGCCTCAAATCCATTTTGAGTTTTGCAAAACATGGCTAATATATTTAGCCAATAAAAATCTAGAATTTTATTATAAATATTTTAGTATAATAATAAAAATAAAAGCCAGGTTTGAAAATTTTTTGTGGGAACCTAAAACTTCAGTTATGTCGCCTAATACATGTTATGATAAATAAATAAATAATTAATTAAAAAGTCATAAGTTAATAAAAAACATCATGATTATTATGATTCATTTCAACCGTGATTGCCTGCTACCAATGGAAGATAATTCAGGTGAAAGTCGATCAAAAGCATCTTGAATTTCATTCAAAAAACTAAAAAACAAAAATAAAAAGCAATAATAATACTATTATTATTCAATGATAGGCAAATTGAAATGGTTTTCCTACAAAAAAAAAAAACAAACCTTTTGCTGTTATAAACAGTGGTGCCACCTAATACAATTCTAACACCCGCATTTGAGGAATTTATTTGCATTATAGATTTGGCCTCTTCATAAGTAACACCTCCTACCATAAATACAATGATATCTTGAGGTCTAATTAATAAATAAAATGCATATTATAACACTAAATAATACTAACAGAAGATGATAATAATAATAGCAAATTTACCTATCCCTTGTTGATCCTTCAACAAATGGATAACTTGTATCTTTTAATTTCCCTTTGATCAGTAAATCCAAAGTTTGCGTTAAATGAGGAGAATGTCTTGTATAAACATTTTCTACTCCCTGAAAATATATATAAATTTCGTAAACTTTTACAAAATATTATATTGAAAATAAATAAATATATAGATTATATTTACTTTTAGTCCCATAATTTTATTTTTTGATTTTGCTAGAAAACTTTCATTAGAAAATAAATCATCTTGTCGTTTATCGGCACCAGCAAATTGAATCATCGATCCTATTAACTATATATAAATGTATATTATATATATATGAAGTAAATAATATGTAAAAATATTTTCTAAAAATAATAATATAGAGAAACTCACGGAAATTTTTTGTTCACTAACACCATTACGATGTAATAAATCAATTATTGAAGTAATCTCATTACTTGATTTTTCATATCTTAATGAATATAAAATAGCTAATCTAATTTTACTATCGTCTGATACTTTAGGGTTCGTAATGAGTGATTGTAAACTCTATTGTACATACGTGGTATAATTATGTTAGGGTTATTTAAAATAATGATTGATATTTTCCCCTCAAAAATAATAAATACCTTTAAACCATTAGCATGTTGTTCAGAACAAGCTAAATTTTGTTCTAATTCACTAACTTCCAATAAACTTTCTTTTTCCACCAAACGACTCAACTCACCAACCAATGTCACGTGCTTACTAACATTTCCTGACAATTTTCTAAACTCAGGATATTCTTCAATAAATTGTTTCATATCAGCAATTGATTCAATATTCTTGCTAGATTTTGTTTTTGATTTATACTCCTCGACATAAGTTTTAATATTAACTCCAAGATCACCAAGATTTAAATACATATTTTTTTTGTAAAATGGATCTTGATCATGTGAAAGAACAATTTCCTTTTTTTATAATAGTAGATATAATAATTGATTTAAATTATTTACATTCAGAAATTAATTAATATATAACATACAAACCTTTAAATCTGGTCTTATATCAGGTATATATGATAAATCAACTCTACCATTATTTATACCAAGCAGTTCATGAACCATTGCTTGATAAGTCCATTGGGATAGTAATGGCGTGACAGGATCATTACGACGATCTAGAATTAATAATATTGGTGGAGTATCAGTTCGTCGAAAATCAAAAAGTTGCCCTTCTTGTTGAATTTGATACTTTATAGACATATTTTCATAATAATAAGTAATAATTGGAAGAAATAAAAATAGTAATACAAGAGAAATATTCACTTTTTTTCATTTTTCCAAAAATAAAAAATAATGACATACATGTATTTTCATTGCTAATTGTTTTGCCATAGCACTTTTATTCTCATAACGGATCAATGGCTTCTTCTTTAAGGAAAGCAAAACACCAAGTACACCTTCTACTACACGCTGTAAAGTTTTTCCATCCCAGGTGCTTAATGAATTACCAAATAATTGGTTTTGCGGTAATGAAAGATTTAAAGAATAAAAATCAGGATTTATTGCACAGTAGTCTGCAAAATATTCCTAATTGTAATCGTATATGAGAATTTTTATAAGAATTAAAAACATCAAACATTATTATGAGTAATTTAAATAAATACCTGTACTTCTCTCACTACTTCATGTTCATCTACTTCAGCCAATCTTTCGATATATGATTTTTTTAATGTATTACTAAAATCTATTAAACATTATAATAATTATAATTATAAATAACATTAATCATCGAGAAAAAAGGCTAAATTCTCTAATTATAGGTAATTCATCAATCAGTCAATTCATCACTTACATAAATAATAATCCCCATAACAAGGATCTCTAAGCTCTTCTACTAGTAATTGAATAGTTTCACTTGTAGGCCTTAGAAAACAAACACATTTCAAATGTCGCATCTTATCACGATTACGATTATCGATACGATCAACCAAATAAGTTTCATGTGAGAGAAGACTAGATTGAGTCATTACATTCGAAATTATAGGAGTCTAATAAGATTTTTTTTCATTCGTTATATATATAATAACTACATGAGAATCATTAAAAAACTATTTTTTTCTTCTTTCACTCTAAAACTAACCGTTTCTGAATCAAGAAGTAACACTTTCATTCCTGCTACATCATTGATCATCTTGTTAATATAGTTCTGAACTGCTTTAACAATGTCCATTTTTTTTTGAATTGAGAAAATTTTGTGCACAAATGTCAATTAAAATTTACAGTGTTATAGAATTTCACGTGATCTTTTAAATTTAAATTTTAGAAGTTTTACATTAGAAGGTTGCAAAATCAACCTTTCTTGTACATATTTCTGAACATAATAAATTTAATAGGAATACAAATGTATTTCTTCACACTACATCAAATGATATAACCAATTATATAACTGATGATGTAAAAATGAGATAAAAAGATATAGATGTATTGTTTGCAATTAGACAAGAATGTTCTCTAAATTATTGAATGATACAATCAATGATATAAAATATTAATGCATTATTCATGATAAATCATAAAACTGATGGAGACAATAAAATAAAATGATAAAACAATAAATAAATAATGCAATAACTAAGGCTCCACATGAGCCAGCTCACAAGCCAAATAACTTAGTAGGCTTGCAAGCTGAATAAGTTTTTTGGCTTGCAAGCCAGCTTGTGAGGAGCTTTAGCAATAACTATCATCTTGGCAGAGTTAACCATTGAATATGTGAGTTAACACGGAAAAGTATATGTTCACCTAAATGTTAAAATGATGTTACAATTAATTGGATTCTCTTTTTAAAATAAATAAATAACCTTGACAAATATCACCAAGTTTATAAAGTTGTTTGATTACCCTACTTCATCTAGCATGGTGGACATTTGATTTCATTGGCTAAATTTTGTGACGATCTCCCTTCCAGATATCACGCAACAATTAAATTTTATTGG